CATATCTCTCATGCGGGAGGACTAGGCATTTGCGCGAGATGGTCAGCGGCTGGACGCTCACGCCCCTCGTGTAGGCCTTCGGAGGGCGTGGGTGTCTTGAGGAGATCATCGAGATTGAGGGCAGCGTATGTCCCTCCTCCCTTGGTGCAACACCTGCTAAACATTCAGCATGCAGTTCAGGATCCAGGAGCCGGGTGTCGGCGAGGGCTTCGAGTATGTTTATGGCTATGACAACAACACCGTGCGTCTCCATCTGCTGCGCAACCTTTCTCACCAACCCTGTAGGACCTCACAGATCACAGACGGTCAATATGCGACCCTTCTCGAACGCCCTAGTACCGGTCTCGCACATCGCCGGCAAAACCCCATCTCCCTGCGCTCTCGGGCATGCTAACAAACGGAGCTCCAGAGCCTGTGTAGCCCTTCGAGGCACATAGGCGGCGCTGGCAGTGCTCGAGTCAGTGGTACGAGTGAGTGGGAGCGCTGGGAGAGCGTCGATATGAATTTAGTGTACACCGTATATATATCCAATGAATATATTTAATTTCCTCTCATAAAATGGTCTGAGTGGCCTTCATGGAGATCTCTGGAGGCTCCAGAAGAGCCCTCCTTTCAGCCTCTGGACGATGCTGAGGCAGTCTTAAGAAAACATTTATTAACTACTCCGTACAACCTCAGTCAAATCTCTGTTCTATATTATTGCCATCTCTGTCCGGTGTAAGCCCCCGAGTTTGATGGATATGAGGCTGGATGTCTCTGAGACATTGTCAATGGGAATCACCTGAGCCATAGATCAAAAGTTGCTCGGGTAATACGAGACCACGACATCTGAGGGAGATCCCTCGAGCTTTGTCAGATGTCGAGCATTTCTCATCTGTTGATCAACATTCCGGCCTCTTTCAAAGATCGCCGCAGTTCGGTGGTGTAGATAGCCAACAGCCAATGATTTGGAGTAAGACCAAGCTATACAAGCAAGGCCGAGCGACTTAAATTGTAGTATTCTTAGAACAGAACAATCCAAATCAACCAATTCAATTCAACCCCAACAGACTAAGACTACTGTTCCCAGAAGCGGCAGCACTTAAGCTGACCGACCACCTGAGGGGCAGGGTCCAGTATCCTACTACTGCTAAATGAGCGGGTATTTATACAAACTGGCCGTCTAAATAAGGAAACACAGAATACAAACATTAATTAAAGAAAAGCTGAGACAAATATAGCAAATAGCTGCCAAACTGAACCTGTTGAATGTTAGTTTGTGTCGAAAATAGTGTAAAATGGTATAATTGGTGCACAACCATGCAGCCAGGGCCTAGGGTTGGCTTGGTTTGCACTGAGTAATCAAATGCCAAGCCAAACTAGCACTGGTTCGGGCTGATCAAACTAAGCCCGCAGCCCTCCTTGCTGCAATATCTACTCCATGATTGGCTCCTCTGTAGCCCTATCTGCACCCGTGTAAGCCCAGGGCCCGAGGGCACGGATAACTGCCTCATACAGCCAAGTCAGGGATAACTCAAGTCATCCCGGAATAATCCTAGTCCATAAATGCTGATGGTAACTGCCCAAGTTCCTGTCACTGATTCCGAATGTCTCCGAGGCTCTGGAGACGTCCTGAATAGCCTGAAAGAGTGTGACTCCCAGTCACAGTGACCAACAAAGTCACAACTGAACAATAAGTGCTCACAATGGACACAACAGCTCTGTTGACACAATTCAACTTGTAACCAGTGTTCCCTTGGGTCTCCCATAGTCTAGATGGATGGTAGTTGATACCCTTGTTCAGAACACATGCAGATAAACCCCAATTTGTTCACAGAATGGTTGAGTTATTCTTTAATTAAAGATTTGGTACTCTCTTGAAATCCAACCCATAGTAGTATTATCATTCAAGTCGAGCTCTGCTGCTCCAATACATGCTTAGCATCCTAGCTAGCTGCTCGGGTCTTACACTAGCCCATATCTGGATGTGTAACAGCCGTGTAACTCAGTGCAGAAACATGCAAATCAAGCAAATTCAGCTGGCTTATCACCAGCCCGGAAGCTTAGTCATATTCGACTTATTCTCACTTTATTCGGATCACTCATTTTCCGATTTTTTCCAAGAAAATTTCAGTAAATTACAAACAATTCAAAGAAGATATTCTATCTACAATTTAGCGGCAAGTCTGCTTATTCATCCATGCCATCCTCCGGCCCCGACGGCTCCGTCACGATCGGCGGCGCAGAGGTCTCCCGGGCGCCCGACCTCGACTTGGGGCGCTCCTCATCCTTCTCACCCTCCGCGTCCTTCTCCCCATCGCTTCCCGTGGAACCGGAACCTTCTGGTGTCTTTGCCCCACCATCATGGGACAGCTCGAAGCCCTCGGGCCACATCGGCGACCCTCCATGGCCATCTGGTGACACTCCCGATTGCCCTGGCTCGTCTTCTTCACCCGAGTTCCGGGACTCGCTGTCCCCAGAACCTTCCGCCTCGTCGCCCATGGCCGCCTCGGCCTCCTCCATCTCCCATGTCTCACGGAGCCCCTTCGCCACGGGCATCCACCGCTCTGCGATGTCCGACTGGCACTCGAAAATCTCCTGGAGCGTGATTTCCGCGCCGTCCTCTGCACGCCTGACAGGGCTGAGGAGCATGTCCGACCTCCGGTAGAAGTTCCGGAGGCGGGACATGAGGTCGTCGTAACGACGGTCGAACCGCTGTTCGATCATGTTGAGACGAACCTGCAGGTCGTCAATGCGGGTCCGAGGCCCGGCCTCGGCAACCTCCGGCGGGACTTCTTCCACCTCCGACTCGACAGTGCGCCGCTTGACAATATGGCGGCGCACAGGGGATTTCGCCGTTTTGCGCGTCTTCCGGGTGACCGGTGTGTTGACGGAAGATTCTGCGTCGGAATCTTTGCGGGCGCGTTTACGAGTGCGCTTGTCGTCGGGGGGCACCGCCGAGCATTTCGCCTTCACCCGGCTACATGCCTTGCACGCCGTCCGGCCAAATTCGATGATGCAGGGGCGCAGGCGGCGTTGGATGCAGCGATCACATCCTGGAAAAGAAAGCGGAAGTTAGCGAAAAAAATCCGGAACAAAAGGACTGCGACATACGTTTCTCCTGTTCCACAGGACTGTCAACCTCTGTGTTGACCTCGCCCTCCCCTCCGTTCCACCCGTCGGCACTTTCCGTCCAGGGACGACTCAGTCCCAGCGTTGTCTCCTTCGCGGCCGCCTTGCGCTTGCGCTTCCTCGGCCGTTCAACACGTTTGATGGGCCCGGAGCCCGACCCACTGGCAATGCTCAAAAGCCCACGGAGCCGCTCCAGCTCCTCACGGGCCTCCGCCATCTCCACGTCCTGCGCCGCATCCCTCTGGTCCCGCTCCTCCTGCCGCTCAACCTCTGCCACAGCCTCTTGCTCGCGCCTTGCACGTTTCTCCTCCTTCCGCCTCTGCCTGCGCTCCGCCTTCTTGCAGGCTTCCTTCTCAGGGTCGGCCGACCCTGAGCGTTCCCGACCGCCTCAGCCGTCGCCCTTGCTGCCGTTGCCGCCGTTCCTGGGGTTTCCACTTGTTCCGTCATTGGCGGTGGTGGACATGAATTGGGACGGTGGTGGCAAGAGGAGAGAAAATTTGACGCACAGCCTTGTGGCTGCGCAACATGACTCACATCACTCACGTGACCAGTCTAGAACTTTCTCGGCAATCTCCGCCCTTTCGGCCTTTGACGAACTCAAATCTTTTTTTGACAAGTCCACCTTGGATCTCAGTTCCTTGAGGGCAAGGAACGCTAGAGGGGGATACTGTTATATCTGTACGTCCTGAAGTCCCGAAGTGTTCCATCACTCCCAGGATGTTCTGTACTTTCAGGAAGTTCCGGCGTCCGGATCCTCGGATGCCGCCTGAACTGGGTTTTCACACAATGAAGGATTACTGAGTGTTTCCCATTTTCAAACTTCCTTATTTTATCGCACTTAACTCGAGCGGACTTCACCGCTCCGCATACCTCACTTGCGGCTTCTTCCATTTCTGATTACCTTATATAGAAATGGACGTAATTATGACTTAGTATAAATATTCCATATGCCTGTATGTAACTTCAGTTTGATTATTAACGTTCTTGACTACTCGTCTTGTCCTGAACTCTTCCTTAACTTCCGTCCTCCGGAGTTCCAACTTTCATCGGAACAACTTCTACTCTCGCCAGTCCAGGTAGTATGCACACCCTTACCTTCCTGTGGTGTTTGCTATTGATCCGTAACTTCCACTCCGCCATCCGATCTCCGGCACCGGAACCTTCCGATCAACAGATCATTCCTCCGACTTCGACTTCGGGATTTAACAGCAGCACTCTTCAGACACGGCAGGAAGGCCTACTGATGCGGTGTCATAGCAGAGTATTCAACTTTGGTGTACTTATTTTGATATTTGCACGACATGTCTCATTATTACCCTGCTATACTATCTTGTCCCTTGATATTTTTGGTGGTTGTGACTCGTACTCTCTGTAATTCCCCGTCCACTACGGCCAGTGTAACTATGGTCAAAGTATCTAAGCCCCAATCCTTCATACCATATTGTGCCTTCCGCTGCTTGTTATTCATTTTTTTCTTTACTCCTGGTATTAACACGCAACGAAATAAAAACAGGCACCAGATGCATCCCAGGGCATGGTGAGACTTGGCATGACGCAAGAACGGTTGTGGTCACGTGCGACCTGATGGCAACGTAATGCTGCTGGATTCGTCAAGGCGGATCATGTTGGCTCGTCAGACGCACAGTAGATTCTCATGGGTGTGGTTTGTACTAGAATGCACGCTAATTCTAGGCTTTAATTACATGGACGAGAAGATCGTGCCAAAAAAACCAAAGGATTGTACACATTATTAAATACAATGCTGATACACGTATTGACTATAAAAGCCTCAAGATGCAGTCGAGGATTTGTAGATATGCTCCGCAATGCCAGTTGGGATATATAATATAGCACAAAAAAGGTTAAAAAAAGATGGACTACTGCCTCAATGCCTTTGGGTAGGATCAAACCACCATCTACCTGTTAAATTACCATTTTTGTGCTGTATAACAAAGACAGGCCGAGCATCATTGCTCCACAAAGGCTTATCCAGCTAGCCGTGTTCTCGTATATGTGCGCTCTGGTCAGACTGATCCCCCCACAGCAAAAAGAATTTCAGAGGCAGTGCCTTTGGATGGAGTCGAACCACAGTATCCCCTGATATCTCACTGAGAGGGCGGAGAAGAGCTTCCTTGCTCTACAAAGGCTTTCATACCCAGCTACACTCCCGAATAGATGTGTCTGGATTCCTTGACCAGAATAAAATAAAAGGTTACCATATTTGAGAGGTCACTTTCAGATCAGCACCTTTAGATTCAGAAACAAAATCTGAGTATCTTTGCCTCAGGGAGCTAAGGATTTTGAGGCACGGTTGTGGAACCCACAAATAACCTTATTTAGCAAGCTGCTTATTAAACTCAGAAAGACCGGTCTGTCTATCAACACTTTCATAGACAGACAGTCACCGGTTGTTGGAATGTGTGTTTGGACTATGACATTCTTGCTTACTTAGTTGTAGTTACTATAGTTACTAATCACCTGATTGATCAGTCATGCTGACTGATATGCTTATTGAGCATTCCCCATTTGATTATCATGCTTACTGATCCACTTACTCGTACTTACTCATGCTTAGTGATCACCTTACTTATGATTACTCATCTACCTATCTACTGTATATATAAGTAGCCTAGCTTAGACTGGAGTCCTCAGTTTCTCAGTGTTGACTTCAGACCGCTGTGCTTGCCTGTTCTAACACCGGTGATAAGCCAGCAGAATGACCACGGCTGAATTTGCATTATTTGCATGTTTCTGCACTGTTACATGGCTGTTATACATCCAGATATGGGCTAGTGTAAGACCCGAGCAGCTAGCTAGGATGCTAAGCATGTATTGGAGCAGCAGAGCTCGACTTGAATGATAATACTACTATGGGTTGGATTTCAAGAGAGTACCAAATCTTTAATTAAAGAATAACTCAACCATTCTGTGAACAAATTGGGGTTTATCTGCATGTGTTCTGAACAAGGGTATCAACTACCATCCATCTAGACTATGGGAGACCCAAGGGAACACTGGTTACAAGTTGAATTGTGTCAACAGAGCTGTTGTGTCCATTGTGAGCACTTATTGTTCAGTTGTGACTTTGTTGGTCACTGTGACTGGGAGTCACACTCTTTCAGGCTATTCAGGACGTCTCCAGAGCCTCGGAGACATTCGGAATCAGTGACAGGAACTTGGGCAGTTACCATCAGCATTTATGGACTAGGATTATTCCGGGATGACTTGAGTTATCCCTGACTTGGCTGTATGAGGCAGTTATCCGTGCCCTCGGGCCCTGGGCTTACACGGGTGCAGATAGGGCTACAGAGGAGCCAATCATGGAGTAGATATTGCAGCAAGGAGGGCTGCGGGCTTAGTTTGATCAGCCCGAACCAGTGCTAGTTTGGCTTGGCATTTGATTACTCAGTGCAAACCAAGCCAACCCTAGGCCCTGGCTGCATGGTTGTGCACCAATTATACCATTTTACACTATTTTCGACACAAACTAACATTCAACAGGTTCAGTTTGGCAGCTATTTGCTATATTTGTCTCAGCTTTTCTTTAATTAATGTTTGTATTCTGTGTTTCCTTATTTAGACGGCCAGTTTGTATAAATACCCGCTCATTTAGCAGTAGTAGGATACTGGACCCTGCCCCTCAGGTGGTCGGTCAGCTTAAGTGCTGCCGCTTCTGGGAACAGTAGTCTTAGTCTGTTGGGGTTGAATTGAATTGGTTGATTTGGATTGTTCTGTTCTAAGAATACTACAATTTAAGTCGCTCGGCCTTGCTTGTATAGCTTGGTCTTACTCCAAATCATTGGCTGTTGGCTATCTAAATATATATCTGGCTCGAAACATATAAGAGACCTTTGTTGACTGAGATAACGGACTTAGGTGGGTATTAATAGCCCCACGCGGTTGGCAGTTCCAGATCGCAATTGTCAGTGATTGTATGGATTAGATTTTATGGAACTTCTGGCTTCTGGATATATGGATATATATATGGCTTCTGGACATCTGAATTATATGGAACTTTTGGATATATTGCTCTACGCACTGGCTTAAAACACCACCGCTCGGAGAGATATAAATAGACTTTGGCAAACCAATTCGATCACACAGATCACCGGGAGCAATCCCAACCACCTGTTAAAACCCACCTACATTCCAATTGTCCTTAGTGGCTCATCTGAGCGGCTAGAAGACCATTAAACAAACTTGGCAGAACATTAGTTAAAGCTTCGGCTTAGCTATTCTATTGTGTAGTAAATTCAGATTCGTGAACAACGTTATCTAGCGTTGGAATCCCCGAACCCGCAGTCTGATTGTAGTGGACATAGTGGTGTTATTGGTATTTTATAGTGGTGTATTAAAGCCATTGTATTAGACCGATTTCACCAGTGTTCATATACTCAGCATTTCACCGGGTTTGTTCAGAAACCTCCGGTGGAAGTTGTCGGTATGTTCCGGCGCGTCGACATCAGAAGTGCCGACCCAACTGAACTGTTCGTCTGATTCTCGTAACCGAGCCATTCGACCAAGTACCAGAGCTTGTTCGTCCAGAACCTTCGGTCGATTTTAGAATCAACGATTTGCTTGATTTCGTAATGTTCCTCGCCGTCAATGATCTCAACAGCAGCCGGAGGTGGTTCCTCTCGGCCCAGGAATGGATTCGGAACATGTGGCTCGAGTTGAGAGATGTGGAAAACGGGGTGAACCTGTTGGAGAGATTTCGACAGACAGATGGTATAGGAAGCCGCACTTGGTTTTCCGATAACCTCATAAGGTCCGAGGAAAGTTTCAGAAAATTTCGGAGTAGGCCGTTTCGTCCAGATGTACTTCGTGGAGATGAATGCATGGTCTCTGATCTGGGGCCGGGGATCCGGAATTCGTTTCTGATCGGCAGTTTCCTTGTATCGGGTCTGAGCGAATGTGATCTGTTCGCGGAGATATTCGTGGAGACTTTGAAGATCGATCACATAATCCTTCGCATACATGTTAGCGACATCACGTTCCGGATGAATAGTGATAGCCGGATCATATCCTTTGTTCGCAAAGAACAGAGAAATGCCAGTAGAAGCGTTCGGCGCATCATTGAGGGCGAATTCGGCAAGCGGAAGAAGATCCGCCCAATCATCTTGTTGATATGAGCAATACATCCAAATGTATTGTTCCACGGTCTGGTTCATGCGTTCCGTTTGTCCGTCGGCTTCCGGATGATAACCAGAAGTGAAGTGTAACTCCATATTGAGGAGTTCGCCGAGCAACCAGAAGAAGGAGGAGATAAATTCGGAGCCTCGGTCACAAGTGACGTGCGAGGGAACTCCGTGTTTGGAGAAGACGTGAATAAGAAAGAGCCGGGCGAGTTCTGGTGAATTGATGTGTACGCCGCAAGGAATTAATATAACCTGTTTTGACGATCGATCAATGATTACGAGAATGCAATCGTACTCGCTGGATTTCGGAAGTTGTTCGATGAAGTCCATAGAAATTGAGTGCCAAGGATGGAGTGGTACCGGAAGAGGCTTCAGCAATCCGAAAGGTCGGTGCCGAGGCTTCTTGCCGCGCTTGCATAAAATGCATGATCGACAGTAATTGATGACGAATTTCCAGCATTCGGGCCACGTGTATTCTCGCCGGACTTTGGCGAGAGTCCGATTCTGTCCGAAGTGCCCGGACAGTACGTGGTCATGCATGTGCTGTAAAACATGTACATGTAGCTCCGAAGGATTTTCCGGTGATACGGCTGGTTTTGACCCACCCGTGTAATCACGCTTTTTTGTGATTCTTAGCACAATTCTAAGAACCCCTGTTCGGTGGTATACAATTAGAGCTGGAGTGAGCTCCGAACTGCCGACTGTGTATTAATGATGCTAGAGGGGTAGCGCGCACTGAGGAGACATAGAAGCATGGTCCTTATAAATATGGGGGATCCGCTTCATGATCCTAGAAGTGTTCACGAACTCCATCAGACAGAGTTGTTTCTTGTGATCCGGGAAGCAGCTTGCCCTGCAGGCTAGATACCATACCCAGGAGATATAACAAAAGCCTTGACACCCTTCGTGGATTGTACTGCACCAGACAAGGGCAGGGAACAGTTCACGAACACCACTTCCATGCGGGAAGGCTTCAGAATGAGTTCACGAACAAACATTGATATTCGCGAACCTCACTTTCAGTGGACTTATGACTGAAAGGGCAAAGGAACAAGTTTGCGAATGAACATTGATGTTCACGAACCTCTGACTATTGGTGCCTGGTGCGGGTTGGTTCAAGCAGTAGTCAACCCTGGGTCAAGGGGACCACATGTGATGGTCGCGACGCAGTCGCGAGGACCAAACACTGCCAAAGTGGAAGCATATTGGCGATCGGAGTAGTCTTGAGCCGAAGCCGGAGGGCCTCGCATTCGCGAACGGCCGGACAAGCGATTTACCACGCTTACGAGGGCTGGGCAGACACACAGGGTGGATTATCAACCATGCCGGTGTGGGACGTATACACCAAGGCAGCAGGCTGGGTTGCGAAACCCTTCGGCCTGGGCTGAAATATTTCAAATATACCCAGAACGGTTCGCGAAGTCATTGCTGATGACTTTCCGATGCCGGGTACCTATCCAACCACCACTAAAGCGCCGCGTCACTATTCCTATTCCGTTCCGAATCGCTCCGTTTACTCATTTTCTCTTATTTTCTCTTATTCATACTGCTCTGTCATGTATTTATCGAAAACCTATAAAAGACCACGTAGAACCCGCCATACAGCAGTTCATCCTTGCCCCCTTGGTTGCGCTTAGACGGAAGTCGAAGCCACCTGTCAAAGGTGTTGGTGTCCTCTGTATCTGTGCGGAGATTTGTGATATAAAACATTTCTCTTGTGTAGATTCATTAATACAGAAGCTTTGATTTTGTTGGCTCCATAAGCTTTAAAGGATCATCTAAGCCAATCACTTCACCTCGTCTCGTGGAGGGTCACGGCGAGTTCGCGAAAGTCCTCTGTTAAGTTG